GGAATGCATAACATAAATAGTCAAGCAGATTTGCATACCTTTGCTCGCCTCCGCAATTTTTTGAGCTTTAGAACTGCTCTCAGCTCAGAACAAAAGCAAAGTATTAGCTTACAAAGTGACAAAACGTCTGAAATAAAGGTGAGGTCAACGAAAAATAAGCAAATACTATTTGGATCGGTAATTTGTCCAGGTGTGTGCTTTTAACTGTGGCGTAAGGTGTTAGAGCTAAAAGTACTCAAAGTTTAGCCACCAAGTTCCCTTTACCACCAAGAGTATATAACAGGAGTTAGTTTGGCTTAAACTGATTCTTCTTTACCCCTTTAGTCTCTCTCCTAATTCAATTTAAGCTAACTAACATGTTGTACTCTCCAAACACACTCAAGTCATTGGAGTACTGCCAAAACAACATGATGCACATCATTTTTCCTCGTTTTACCACTTGCTAAGGCACGGTGCTTTGTCAACTGCTTAGAGTCTTGCCATTTGTTGTCATAGTGGACTGAGAGACTGAGAAGGTTTTGCAGTACACCCATTTAGGAAAGGCTGTGGCCATGCCTTTATTAGAAGCATTTTTTCTCCACCGCCGTTTCCACCTCTCAAATTATTCGAATACGGGAATGTGATTTCTAGCGAAAAATCCATATTCCTGCAATTAAAAATATACATAAATAATTTCCTTATAATTTGTTGTGACAAATTTGTGAGCAGTTGTGGAGAATAATAGCAACAGCTTTTGTCCTTTAGGTTACCACAATGGCTCTTGTAGTCATGTGTTGGTTGACGGCAAAAAGTTTACGATTTATTGATAAGGCAGTATTGCGGTTGTTCGAGAGCCCATCTCAATTCTGGTTGTCTCATATGTGCAATTAAAAATGATTAATGGAAAAAATTTGTAGCATGAACTGTAATTTTAATCGAATTAAAATAGTTAATTGAAAACCGTGGGACATTCTCAAAGGTCACAAGGCTTTAATCCTCTTGGGTGAAAGGGATGAAGTTCTGAAGTAATCTTCCACATTTGTGAATAATTTGGCGTTGGTAGACAACAATTTTATGACTGGCTATCTGCAATCTATTGAACAACAAACTATAGAGTCATTCAAGTAAAACTCATTTTAGTGGCAAATCATGGACTGTTTTTAGTCCGTCTGAATTAATTTTATGCGACTTTAATCGAAAACATGTGTTGCATGCCAAAGAAGAACTAGTTGAAACACAAATCAGAATTGAAGCAAAGCGGGCCTCATCTTTAATTTTTAATGTCCGTTTTGACCTAAATGACGAATTTTC